AGAGGAGAACCAATTTCAAGTCACCAAAACAGACATATTTATAGAAAATAACAATCTTCCATCACAAAACCATGAAAGCAGCCAATACACTCACATCAATTTAAATTTAAATTAGAAGTAAGAGTATAAAGTGTTTTCCAAAAGATTATTTTGTCCCTAAATATAAGGGGTGGCAATGATATTTTTAAGTAATTAGATAATTTTATCTTTGTTTTGAAAAAGAGAATAGATCATTACTTATATATTTTCTCTAACATCACGATATTAATTATGATATTATTAAAGATAAAACTAAAAAAATATTATATTTTTATGTGAGTTTGACTAAATAATAAACTTTTATTAGTATGCAAAATTCAGTTAAAAATATCTACACATAGGGACGAAGGGAATATTTCACAATTAAACTTGCTTAACAAATCAAAGAACCAAACCAATAATTATTTCAAAGTATCACATTGTCATGAAAACATTAAATAACAAATTCACCAAGAAAAAAAAGGGAGATGGAATTCATGGTTATTTTAATTCATAAACAAACTTGAAAAAAATGAATTACAAAACATTCTTGTTTTTTCATTTTTAATATGATTTTTTGTAAGAAAAATATGGGCTTGGAGGCTGCTCAAGCCTGAGCTTGTTTTTACAAGGGTTAATAAGCCCAAGCTTAAAACTTCAATTACACTAAAAACCCTTAACCTTTTTTGGTGTGAACCTTTATTTAAAAAAAAACACTTAAACAGGTGCCCGGTCAAGCCCAACACATATTCTGGGCTGTACCTTAAACAACCTAGCCGAAGAGGATGCCAACCATGAGATGTCCATTATTAACGGCTTTCAAGTGGCACTGATTGGTGAAGCATTTTCTTCTGTATCAAAAAGTCTTTCACACACTCAACTAAAGATCTCAAGTTCGAACTCTTCCAGTAGCATTGGTGATAAAGTTTTCGCTTGCTCTGGATTAGTTTAGGTCCCTGTTAAAATAATGATAAAGTGTATTAGTAAATATCAATTTCAACATCTCCACCAAAACATTGAGTAAAGTTCCAGAGTTGGGATTGTGTCTGAAGACTAGAACTTTGTGAACAAAACAAAAGAAAACGGTGAAATATATAATGGTAAATAACTAAAAGGAAAGCCCATGTTTAAGCCCATGGCCTGACCCACCAAATCAAGCCCATTCTGATCCCAAAAAAAACAACCGAATAGCACTTGGAGTCAAGCTCATTTTGCTCCATGGTCCCATAAATGACCTCTCTCTTGAGTGAAAGAACCAGCCCATTACCCTCCTCCTGTTAACTTCGGGCTCAAGACCCCCATTTTCTTTGCTTACCGAACTCCTTCTTTGGCACAGGTTTTAGTTCAATAATCACAAAAGTTATTCAAGGCCTGTTTGGGTAACACCTAGAAACACATTCAAACCACATTCAAAACATGCTTTCACCAAATCCAATAAAAAATTGAATTCCTAAAATATATTTTTGTCAAATATGAACTGAAAATTAAAAACACACTCATTCTCCCCTCACCAACTTCAATGCGATCTGCAAGCCGATGCATATATCTCCTGTTTTAGCTTCTTCTTTTAGCGTTGCTTGTTCATCTTCCTTTTTTAGTTTTTGGATGTAATTGAATCTATTTGTCCTTTATAGAAGAAAATGTTCATGGATAATGATATACCAGTTATGATTCTTCCCTTGTCCTCCATGCTGCTGCTGCTGCTTCTTCATTATGCATGTTTAACAATGTCCCGATTTTAAATCCACTCTCAGAACTTGGCATATATGATGAACCACACAAAGCATGAAGAAATTCCAGTTCAAGTTATTGCGAGCAAAGCATGATTAGAACCAGTTTAATCAAAGCCATGGCACAAATGTATTTTTAAAAATTATTTGTGCCCCAGTCCCTCAGCAAAATTTATATAGAAATGAATTCATATTTCAGGATAAGAGGCCCAACAATGATTCTTTCTTACTTATCGCTTGACGTATCAGACAACTAATTTATTATTGTGGATTGTGTTCCATGTAAATTACGTGTGTTCATGTAATATAAATTCACTCCTTTATCTTTATTATAAAACTTTTTCATAGTTTTCAATATACAATTTTTTGTATAAAATATTATTATTTTTTTTCTAAATGCCATTTACTTCGATATTTCTAACTAACTCAATAAACTTTCATAATTAATAAATTTCATTGAGAGTTTTTTTAAAATTTTAAAAGCATTAACTGGATTTAATTTTAGTATTTAATTATGTAAATTTGTTGATAGATTATTATGATAAGAATTGGAGAGAGTAATATATACGAAAATATTCATGTGTATTTGTAACGAAGAAATTTTTGAACTTTATGATTATATAGAGATCTTGACAGGCATGTTCCATAATTCAAATAAATGAATCAATAGAATCATCAATGTCAACATAAATATAAAAGTTACAAGGGACTGAACTATACATGAATAACAACTGTTTACATCTTTATATATATATATATATATATATAAAAGTTAAAATATATTTTTATTCCTGCAATATCATACAAGATTTCATTTTAAATTTTTTAATTTTATAAAATATTTTTTAAGTTTCAACCCTAATACCGTTAAATTCATCAACAATAAATTATTATATTAAAATTTTAAATATTAATAAAATATTTTTAGTAACACATTATATTTGAATATTTAAAATAAAATATAATTGATATAAAAAATAATTATTTAAAACTAATAGCGTTAGGATTAAGAAACTAAAAAGAAAATTTATAAAATTAAAAAATCAAACTAAAATATTATATAAAATTAGAGAATCAAATGTGTACTTTACCCTTTATATGTATATATATATTGTAACTCTATGTATTTTTTTTTATTCCTTCAATATTTTTGATACATTCCGGTACAATTTAAAGCAATGGTAGAGCCAAAATCGGGAGTTAGGGGGTGCCAGATCATTTAATTAAAAATGTATATATTTTTTAAAATAATAATTTGAATAATTAAAAATAATAATTATATTAGAACTAAAATAATAATAATATAAGTAGATTGATCATTATTTTATTTAGAAAATTATATTGAACACGCCAATATGATTTTTATGTAAGCATGTTCTTCATATTTTATTTAATTATTAAAATATTACACACACATTATTTTGATCATTAAAATATTGCATATCTAATAATTTTTTGAGCTCAATTTTTTTAGGGAAAACATAATCTTTGATTTCTATAGTTTTATTTAGTTTTGTTTTTAGCCCTTGTAATTTTTTTTAGTGTTTTCAATCTCTATAAAATTAAAAATATTAAAAAATTAAAATTATAGGATATGAAAAATAAAAGTCACCCAACCTTTCTAAAATTATAAAAATTAATAATATTAAAAAATATTATAGGAATTAAAATTAAAACCTGATAAAACTATAAAAATCAAAAATTATTTGTTTATTTTTTGAAAAATTAGGAGTATTTTTTTAGAAAATTTTAGGTATAAATTAATAGTTAAACGCCTCGAAAGATCATGTTAAAATTGTTATTAATTTGGCTAAAAGATATATTTCATACTTTAACTTTATACATTATTTTATTTTACTCTTTTAATTTTATAAAATATCATTTTAATCCTTTAACCCTAATACTATTAATTTTATCCCAACAAATTTTTTATATTAAACTTTCAAATATTAATAAACATTTTTAAATATTAATATATTAAATTTAATTTTTTTAAAATAATAATAAGTAATATAAAAATAATTATTTAAAATTAATAATGTTAGAGTTAAATGGTTTAAAAAAATTTTATTAAATTAAAATTTTATATAAAATTAACTGATTAAAAATATACAGTAATGCATTAATTTTATAAATAGTTATTGGATGCTGCGGACTTTTAGTTGCATGTGGGAGATGATGGACGTGGAAAGAGCTTGACCTTGCACGAAGATACACGTGGAAAGAGAAGAAAGGGTGTTATCGCTTACTTGGTTGGCCAACATCAAGCAGAACCACAAATTTCATATTCTCCGAATATCGTTATCCCTGGCCTGGACAATTTAAGATCATTATTTGTGGCCGTAACCAAATTTGAAATTCCCAAACAAACACAACTTGTATTATTCAATTTTCTCAACACTTGCATTTGTCCTCATTACCAGCATTTTGAAAATTACGTCCCCATTAATTTTTTTTTTCTTCACGAGTTGGGGTAGCAAATATAGTTGATTTTCTCACGACTTTAATTAATAAACGAAGAGCTGATTTTTTTTTGTTGAATTAGCTTTGCTTGAAGTCTTGTGGTCACATTTTTTTTAATAGTTTATTTTTTATGATTATATATGTATTTAGATAATTCGGCTTATGTTTTATAGGCTAAACCAAATTTTAACAAAGAATGAGGATTTTGCTATGCTCTTGGCATAAATTTTATTAAATCTCACGTAGACATTGGCAATAAAATATTGTTGTTGTAATGGAATGAAAGAAAAATCAATTCAAATAATTTACAATCATAATTTTACAAAAAATAATTACATCTCGCAGATTGAGAGGAAAACATGAGCCTATTGTTTGGATAAAGAAAATAAATTACATACATAATTATAATCTTTTGTCTAAATTTCTTGTAAATAATAAACGTTTTAAATTACATAAACATAAGCAGCTGAATGAAAGAAAATTTCACATGCACAATATCACTTTTTTTTTAAAAATCAATCAACTTTTTTTATTAAAAAATGCCACAAAAAATATAATGTACATTTAACACACATTTATTCTATTTTCACCCACCTTTAAAAAATAAATAAATTCTTTCCACATAATTTATTTTAAACGAGTACATAACACATGCATAAAGAGAATAATCAATTAACTTAATGACAAATTTTTTAAGTGAATAAAAGAAATGTGTATAAATTAAAGCGTTAGGGAAAAAAAAGCTGTGGTCCATAAATTGGAAATCCCCCAATGCGAGTTGAAGGTTTTGATGGGCTGAAAATTTCCAGTGTGCTCATAGTGGAGAGAAGTTCTATTGGTGGTTTCTTCTCTCCCCAATCACTCCAATCCATTTTGGTTTTGTTCATCGCCGAATCCTATCCTCTTGAGTATTCACTATACGTTTCTTGAATTGTTTGCCTTTATATTTCTCAATCAAATTTCTCATATTAATCATCAATCGTCAATGGACTTGACCGCGAAGCTTCATCACCTTGAGCTCAGTTCAAGCTTCCTCACCGGCACTGTAATTTTGGACACACGGAAGGCCGCTGTTCGACCTTACGTTCGGCCTGCTTCAAGTCGCGTGGTTTCTCAAACCCTTAGAGGTAATGCTAATTTGGTTAAATCCACTCAATTTATTGGTACTAGAAGAGCGAATTTTAGTATCGCTGCTAGTTCGTCTGCGGTTGCCGTCGAGACATCGGCGGCAGAATCCACCACCGAAGAGGACATTGAGTCTTTGTTTTCGGACACTTCGGTTGATGAATTTGAGAATAGACGTGTGAACAAGCAATCGAGTACCGGTGCGTCGAGCATTTCATCTGGTGTCAAGTTAGAGAACGTGAGCAAAAGCTACAAGGGCGTCACTGTTTTGAAAGATGTTAGTTGGGAAGTGAAAAAGGGCGAAAAAGTGGGATTGGTTGGCGTAAATGGTGCAGGGAAGACGACACAGATGAGAATTATTGCTGGCCAGGAGGAGCCAGACTCGGGGAATGTGATAAAAGCCAAGCCAAATATGAAAATTGCTTTTCTAAATCAAGAATTTGAGGTATCTCTGAGTAGGACGGTGAGGGAGGAATTTCTAAGTGCGTTTAAGGAGGAGATGGAGATAGCTGGTAAGTTGGACAAGGTGCAGAAGGCACTTGAGGGTGCTGTGAATGATTTAGAATTGATGGGAAGGCTTCTAGATGAGTTTGATTTGCTCCAGAGGAAGGCCCAGGCAGTAAGCTTGGATGTAGTAGATGCAAAGGTAAGTAAATTGATGCCAGAACTTGGGTTTTCCTCAGATGATTCAGACAGGCTGGTGGCGTCGTTTAGTAGTGGATGGCAGATGAGGATGTCCCTTGGAAAGATCTTACTTCAGGTATTGACATTTGGCAACACTCTTTCATAAGCTTTTGCATTTTCAACCTGAAACTACAAATATTGTTTGCACTTCTATTATTTTCTTCTTTGTTACACTTAATTGCAACCATTGTTAATTGCCGAATTAATTCTCTGAAAGCATATATGTTTTCTTTGTCTTTGTTCAGCTGAGTTAATGGAGTTAACGAATTTGTGAATGGCTGCTTCCATGTTGAAACTGATTATACTTCTACAAAGCAATTAACCACAACTGTTTAAATCTAAATTTATTTGAAATTTTCAGACTATCGGCCTGCAACTGCTTACTTACTCTTATTTGCTTTAAACCTTGTCTACCACGTGTATCTGTAACCATTTGACATAGATGCTATGTGTTGAAGTGTGAATATCGCTGATGTGGATGAAATTTATCTTCATTTGCAGGAGCCAGATTTATTACTGTTGGATGAACCAACAAATCACCTTGACCTTGACACCATTGAGTGGCTCGAAGGCTATCTTAACAAGCAGGATGTGCCAATGGTCATCATTTCCCATGACAGGGCTTTTCTTGATCAGCTGTGTACAAAAATCGTGGAAACTGACATGGGTGTATCCAGAACATATGAGGGAAATTACTCCCAGTATGTAGTTTCAAAGGCAGCATGGATTGAAGCACAGTATGCTGCATGGGAGAAACAGCAGAAAGAAATTGAGCAGACCAAGGACTTAATAAATAGGTTAGGTGCTGGAGTGAATTCTGGCCGTGCTTCATCTGCTGAGAAGGTAATTGACATTTTTTTAAACTGACATTTTATTAAAGGCATGCTTCTTTCTCTTTCTCTTTCTCTTTTTTTTCCTTCTTTTTTCCTCTTGAAATGTGAATAAGTGAAGGATACTTCCTTAATTTGGTTGTATTAGTATTCATGTATGTAGTTATAACTTAGGATGGTTACTAAGCGACTGGGTGCCTGTATTTACTACTGAGATTAGTTGCATTTCCAAGTGGTTGGTTCAGATTATGCTGCTTTATTGCATGTCTACATGGTTTATTGGCGAGTAGCATTTAATTTTTGTTGCTCAGTTGTGTTTCCTTCTTATTCTATGACAACAGAAGTTGGAGAGACTTCAAGAAGTGGAACTAGTAGAGAAGCCATTTCAACGGAAACAAATGAAAATCAGGTTCCCTGAGCGTGGAAGAAGTGGAAGATCCGTTGTAACAATTAAGAACTTGGAATTTGGATTTGAAGATAAAGTGAGTTAACAATGATCATCTTATGCTGAAAAGTGGGTGTGAAGTTAGTGTCTATGTGTATGCGGGATACTTAATTTTATGACATCAAACTGATCCTTTTTTTTTTTTTACCCTGGTGCTAGGCGCTCTTCAAAAAAGCCAATCTTACAATTGAAAAGGGGGAAAAAATTGCCGTTATTGGTCCAAATGGATGTGGCAAGAGTACTTTGCTAAAGCTAATAATGGGTTTAGAGAAGCCAAACAAGGGTGAAGTTGTGCTTGGGGGGCATAATGTATTACCAAACTATTTTGAGCAAAATCAGGTATCACTTTTATCAAGTAAATGTTATATTTTAAGTTAATCAGAGATGATTTGTTCAGTTCTCTATGCTGAACCTTTTGCATGGCTATTGCTGATATATTTGATTCATTTCACAGGCTGAGGCACTTGATCTGGAGAAGACAGTGCTTGAGACAATAGAAGAAGCTGCTGAGGACTGGAGGATTGATGATATTAAAGGACTTCTTGGGCGTTGTAATTTCAAATCTGACATGCTTGACCGGAAAGTTTCTCTACTGAGTGGTGGTGAGAAGGTAAATTCAAGATTGGTGTTCTTTTGGTTGATATCCAATTAGCTTTTGTGGGCAACAAAAACATCAAATTTTGGCATTAATTCTGCAATGAGTTGTGGTTTTCTCTAAATCCGATTTTTGGTTCCATGTGCTTAGCTAATATAATTATTTGACTTAAAATTTACGCAATGACCTCATAACTTAAGTGATTGGAAAGCATCATCACTGGATGGGGTCATTCTCAAGTGCCGTTGATGAACCCAACTTGTACTAGATTATCAAGTGCCATTGATGATCCAAGCTTCCTTGTTCATGGCTATGGATAAAGATAGGTTTTGGGTTGGTTGTGTTTCTCTCTAATCTCTATATATATACAGATGCACATATATTTGTCATACTTTTCATAGTATAACTCGAAGTCTGGTCTCTTTCATGAAAAGGACTAGGCAACTCATAGTCCGGTTTGGTATAGTAATAACCCGAAGATTAACAGGATTGGACTTGATCCATAGAACTGGGAGATTGGTCTTGTTACTCCAATACTCATTTAGCTTTTTTTTTTTTTTTGCCCTTTTCCTCTATGAAAGGCAATAATTCTTTTCAACCTACTATACTCAATTAAGATAATAAAAATACTTATAATTATAATAAATTCATGATAATTTCCAACGACAAGAAAAAAATATTTCAGTTATAGTCCAAGTGGTCTAAATTAATAAATTATTAGTCTAAGCATGTGACCATGCAAGGAATCAGACTTATTAAATTATTAATAGTCTTAACTTCTTATTATAAATAATTAGTAAATTAATTATAATCATATTAAATAAATTTAATAGGACCAGATTGGATTAAGTGGTTCAGATGCTTAATTTCCTGTCCATTCCAACCTAAATAAATAGTGTGAATTTTTTAGTCTTTTCAGTTCTAAAGGACCAGTTTTTAATAGGACCGAACCTTCTCGAAATAGACTGGGTTGAACAGGATTGGATGGGCTTTGGAGAACACAATCACTAGATGTGGCATCAGTAGTTGAATCTGTATGGGGTAGGATTCATGTAAACCAAAACAGAATATGGGTTTTTAATTTGATTGATTGTGTTTGATAAAAATCAAAAGTATTAGTTTATCCCAAAAAAAAAAGGAAAGAAAATCAATAGTGTTAAAAAGATCTGTAGTCAAAACAATTAAATATAAAATTGAAAACTTATTATTTTAATTACAACAAATGTAACCATGGTTTTACTACTGTTCAGCCAGTGAACCTTACACCAAGTAATTCAACTAATTCAATGTCCAGTCCAGTTTTTATGGCATTATTATCAGTTAAAAATTTAAAATATCCATGGTGAGTCAGAGTTGAATACGCATGCTTCCATTATACACTATTTATTGAAAGTGTGCAGTGATAAATTAATAAGTTTTCAATTCAATGACATCACACTCTCTCTCATCTTATGAGGCATAATTATCTGGATATTTTTTTCTCTTGTTTTACTAGGCACGTCTGGCTTTTTGCAAATTTATGGTAACACCGTCAACTCTGCTTGTGTTGGACGAACCAACCAATCACTTGGATATACCTTCTAAAGAAATGCTTGAGGTTTGCCTTTCTTTTCCCTGGATACTTTATCTTTGCTCACGTCTTGTGATCGATCCATTACTTATAATTTTTCTTTCAGGAGGCAATAAATGAGTACAAGGGCACTGTTATTACAGTGTCTCATGATCGATACTTCATAAAGCAGATAGTTAATAGAGTCATAGAAGTTCAAGATGGAACTTTGCAGGATTATGCAGGAGACTATAATGTAAGTCAGATTATCACAATCTAACCACTTCATTGTGATAGTCAACATTTTTGTATTCGTATTTAGTTAATTTTGGATTGCATGGCTTTTTAAGACTCAAGATGCAGTCAATTCCGGTGTCTGTAGGTTCATATTCTTTTATGGTCTGATCTCTTATTTTAGTTTTGATGATAAGACTTAGCATGATTTTGTGGCGTTTGCTAAAAAGAAAAGAAAAACAGGATATGGTGGTGGTGGCTGAAATAAGCATGTATATAGGCCTTTTTTTTTTTGCCATTCGCATGATCCTGTAGCTGATTAGTAATATTTCATTTTCATATGACTCAGAATGACTTCAACGTAATCAATCGAGTTCCTTGATTGTGATAAATTTCTTACACTTTTGAATCCTACAATTTTCAGTACTATTTAGAAAAGAATCTTGATGCCAGGGCTAGAGAGCTTGAACGGGAGGCAGAGCTTGAAGACAAAGCTCCAAAAGTGAAAGCCAAATCCAAGATGTCAAAGGTATATGCCTCGTTAAGATTGGCATGATGTCGCTTTTCACCTAAACATGAATATTGACACGAACACAAGACACTACACTATGGCGACAATGTACATAGTACTTTTGTGTAATTTGAAGTCATACAAATGCACCTTTCGCTGTTTTGGGGAATTTCCATGATAGTATAGATATATTGTTTGGTTTGCAATGATAGGCTGAGAAAGAAGCAAGGAAGAAACAGAAGATGCAGGCTTTTCAGGCAGCAAAGCAGAAGTCAAAAGGGTCGAAAAATGCCAAGAGATGGAATTGAATGGCCCGTTTTATGAGGCCATAGAAACTCCGCCTTAGATCAATTTTACCATGTAGACAGGATAGAATAGAAGGTGAAGTAGCCATATTGAGCTAGCTATTAAAGCTCTTGTATAGATCACGCATGAATGGACTGACAGCTTTGGATATAATTTTAATGGAAAATAGAAGTTTTGTTATCTCAATTGTCTCTTGCGCTTATGTTGCTAAACCCCACACTAACGTCCCATCCTTCATTAAATTTTTGTCATTACCGATCAAAACATGTATATTTTGGATGCTTCCTTGTACGCACTTTGTACTCATTTTGACTAGCAAACGGCAGTGTGAAAAGAAGTTATATAGCCGATTTCATTTAATAGGATAAAAATTTGTTGTTGTTGTTAAAGTTTACTCTGAGCAATAAACATCATCACTAGAGGCTATAATGCTAATCATACATGTCATGATGTTGTTTTAGATGCTTGTAATTTGATGAATGGGGATTGGTTAGTTTCAATTAACTTTTCTTACAAGGATCTAATTAATAGTGCTCATTCATTAGCTAGAAGAGCACATGTTTTGGAGAGATTTTATTATATCTCTGATCATTCCTCGCCGTAGCTTGAAAAAAGGTGGATGGTGAATGGTCTGTCTCTTATTTAGGTTGTTGTTGTGGGGTTTTTCATTTTTGTGGATGCATTCCCCCTGAAAAAAAAAAAAATAGTTATGTAAGATCTGGTACTAATGATTCAGATTTTGTAGCAGTTCTTTGATATTTCTTTTCCGATAAGTGTTCTTTCATTTCACTCAAATGTAGCTGTTTAACCATCATGCTTCTCACTTAGTCCAAGGGTGTCATTTTTTCTTACGAAATAGTTCCTAAAACTTTGATTAACAATAAACATGGAGACAACTTGTCGTGATGACCTTAGGCGATTTTGATGGTATTTTAGCTTTTAACAATGCGTGTATATCTTATAAAATAAAAGAACTACTGTAATTAAACTATCTCTTTAAAGAAGAGAAATTTTTTTAAATAAAATTGATAACTAGACTAATGTTTTGGTTGACGACACAGTATTTTCTTTCTTGATTATGTAAAGAGAATTTAAAGGGCTTCAAGTCTTCAATTCACTCACCAATCGCCATCTTATTTTTACTCAAGTTAACCTTAGGTGTAAACGATAGTACTTTTAAATTTTATGATTTGTAGAATTATTTCATAAATTAATTTCCAATTTTATACAATTATGATCTAATTTAGTCAATCACAAATAAAAGTTAATCTATTATAAATGACATCAAAGGCCATAAATAAATATATCTATTTACAAGATAATTTTGTAATAAATTAAATCCAAGAATTTTTTTTCAGAAAAAAAATTAAAAAAATGTTTAAATTAAGGACCAAGTTATTGTAAATTTTCCAAAAAGTTACTAAAACTGGCTGATTCGCAGGTAAATAGGCCGTCACACATATTAACTAAACTAAAGAAAAGAAAATTAATTGCTTCAAAAACCCTTGTTTCCAACTTCCACCACTCCAGCAAGCGCTCTGGTTCCCGCGGCCACCATTCATCTTTGCCTGAGGCTTCTGCTTTAGTCTGAAGATTTTAATTGGCATATGTTTGCCTCCTTAAGATCAAAAATACTGAAAGAAACTTATTACTCGCGTCGTTCAAGTTCCATTGACCGAGCATCGCATTAATTACAACTCAACAAAAGACATAGATTTTCTCCGTTTTATCTGTTCAAATTCCATTCACTGTGTTATTGCGAGGTGATTTCTGGATTTTTGTTTTCATCAACTGGTGCGTAATTCTGTGTTTTAAGCTTTTGTTGTTCTTCTTCGATCTCATTCTTCTTTTTATGGGCTTACTATTGATTGTTTCATCGAAAATTTTTTTGTTCTATTTTCGTTTACTTCGTGTAAATTTGTTTCTTTTGATTGCTTCGTTTGGATTACATTTTACTTTGATATCTGTTTTTGGAGTTCACATTATGGATTAAGTAATTGAGCTTACTGCGATGCTTGATTCTGCTGATAACTAGGGCGAGCAATGGATGTGGTTTCGCTAGGCATGCCGGGGCCTTGGGCTGAAGACTATCGTGAATCATCTGATTCTTATACAACAAAGGTCGGAGGAGTTCCTGTAAGTCATTAAAGGATCTATAAAATTCAACATGATTTTCATAATGATTTGATGCCTTTTTTAACCTTCCTTTTCTTTTCCTAATTCGTGTGAATCTGTACACTACTCCTATTTCCTTCAACAGGACTGGCCCCTTCCCAAGGAGGAAATACAAGCAAATTCGCTTCATTGTGGTGCGTGTGGGGGTAAACTGTGTCTTGTAGCTCAGGTCATTTCTTTTTCCAGTGTACGGCTTTACTTGGAAATTCACATGAATTGAGCAGAGACTGACGTATTCTTTTCCTATCTTCTCACTATACAGGTTCATGCTCCAGTATCAAATAAAACTGTAAAAATTCAAGAACGCTTTCTTTTCATTTTAGGTTGTCCTGCGCCAAAATGTGGAAGTGCTTCAGAAAGGTTATTTTTTAGTTTTCCTTGAGTACCTCTAGCATTTAAATGGTAGTAAGAATTATTATTTTTATTGCATATATTGTTTCATGCTCTGAATTTCCTGTTTAAGAACTTGCGGCTTGTAGCTGGCGAGTTCTTCGAGTTCAGAAGACCTGCACCCAGGATGTGGAAGTGGCTTCCGCAACTAAATCACTTCCTGTGGTTCAAAATACCAGCTGGTTGGAAGATGTTAATGACGACGATGACTTGGATTTAGAGCAATTGGGCAAGGCTCTATCTGAAGCTGGGACTTTGGCTTCTAGCAGCAAAAAGTCAGTGTCTAATCCGTGTACTGACACTGCTGCTTCTGCTTCTCCAAATCATAGAGCAATTGAGGTTGACATTGATATGCCAGGTAAATTTTCATGCAGGAAGAAAATTTGCCAAGATTGAAGCCCTAGGTTAATGTTTTACGTCCTTTCCCTTCAAAACTTGTGAGTTATGAACATTAATAGGAGTGCGCAATCAACTGATCTTATCCCTTCTTTTATATGCTTGTTCTGGTTAAGTCAATTGCGTTTTTTTTCTGGTGGGGCAGTATCAATTCATTTGTCTTGCCGGAGACTAGTTGTTGTTAGAATATGGAAAAGTGAGAGTAAATCTTAGTTGAAAGAAGATCAAACAGTACAGTAATTTGGCTGTGTCAAAAGATGTCTAGATGTTGCTTTAGACATTACGAACATGGTGCTAAGGTTGCTGTAATTGATTGTTGTTTCCAGTTGTGCCTTGCTTTTACATATACTACACACAGGAACAACCATCCTCAGAGGATCTTAGTTCGATATCTTCTAACTACTCCTCGCTTTCGATTAAGGAGAATGCAAGTGACAATGAGGACGAAGTATGGGAAAAGGAATCTTATGAATATGATAAAGCTTTGACTGCTGATAGAACATATCTCAAGTTCAAGAAACGCTTGGAAGCACACCCAGAGCAGTGTTTCAGGTATACAACACATGCACGCGCCTACACTCAGCTTCAATCTATCCTTGTTTCTGTTTCATCCTTCCCTTCGCACGCACAAACACAGACTCCAATTTATCCTTATTTCTGTTTCACCCTTCTCTTCTTCCTCTTCCCACCTTCGTGGTTTAAGGCATTGTATCATGCTTTTTCTTACCCTTCCTATGCACAGATATTCATATGGTGGGAAGCCACTTCTAGCTGCAGTTGATAAAATAGACCCTGGTAGTTGTAGTCTATGTGGAGAATCGAGGAATTTTGAGATGCAGCTAATGCCTCCATTGCTATATTTTCTACAAGAAGCACCCGATGACAAAAGACACATGGTGGAAAATTGGGATTGGATGACCCTTATCATATATACTTGTTCCAAGGTTAGTATTCTGCTGCCTTCTGTTGATATTAGGTGACAAATGTTCCGTACCTTTTTACAAGCTTAAGAATCATAAGAAACAGTTGAAAATGAAAAAAGACATTGTTATTGTGAATATTTTACTTGTGTTCAAAACTGGACTTGTCTATATGTTAGCCGAACTTCTGGACTTGGTTTATGTTCAAGTCCAACCATGTTCCCAATTACCTTCTTATATTTTGGGTTTTTTGTTTAAATATTTAAATATCTTCATTTTATTTCATTAGAAACATGCATTTTTTGCCGTAAACTTTTCTCAGATAAAAAAGGATGGTTTCTGTTAGGATTGTGTTCTTGTAGCTTAGAGGTTTACTTGTACGACGGAAGCAATTCAGTCATGGGAAGTTTAATTATACTTGGGGAAAGATCTATATTGTGAACCTTTGCTTTTGAGTCTATTACGCACTAAAATTCTGTATCCTTCCAGAATTGTTCTGAAATGATCGAGCGAGACAAACCCGATAGTAACGGCTGGATTGTGGCAGAGGAGGCAGTTGTGGCACAATGTGAGAAATCCATGCCTGTTCGTAACTATGATTGGTGAAGTCATTGAAAATATCACACAATGAGTTGAATTTTTTGCCTTGAACATCTTGCTTTTGTAAATTTTACTATGTATGAAGATTATGCAACTTTAATGGAATTCTACACTGGTTTTGTTTCCTTGAAGAGTTGTGATAGTAATTAATTTATGGTGCTTATAAAGTAGTCGTTTACTCATATATGGCAGACACGGATAAACTATAGAGAGGATAAATTTGAATTTGGAGGTATTAGAACTTGAAGATATATAAATTGTTTCTACTGATTAAACAAATATGTCTGCGTGCTTATATATAACAAAAATATTTAGAGCTCTGAATCAGACTCTCGCTTAGAGGCAGAGGCAGAGGCAGAGGAAGTAGTCTTGACCTTTTGTGCAGTCTTGTGAACTGCATCTCCAACCATTTCTGCTGCAGATTTTGCAGATTCCTTTACTGTCTCTTTGCTTTTATGGAAGCTCTTCTCTGCTGCATCTTTCATTCCATCACTTTGGGCCTCTTTCCCTGTCCTGAAACTGATCAACAAAGCGTCAATTCTCTCAAGTTAGATCATTAAATTTACAGTTTTATATGCACAGTTCATCGATGTTTCCTGTATTATGTCTATTCTTTCTTCATGTTCAAGTTATGACTGCAAGTGAATCCAATACCTCTTGTGTATTCTCAACTTTCATTATCAAACTATGGAAGAGATTGATATATTCGCAAAAAAAAAAAAAAAAAACCAGAAAGAAAGGGAAAGGAAAAGGAATAGGTTGGTATAATGCCACCATGGTCCTAAGCAATAGGATTTACATTGCACTATTTCTAAACTTTCTAATTTTTTACAAAATGTCATTTGTGTTGTTCTACAGTCATTTTCAATTGTCATACTGAATATTAGTAATTACAATTCTTTTGTATATTACAATGTAATATTTAAGTTATTATAAAATGTAAAATGACATGGAATCAAACTCTTATTTAATGTGTTCCTACTCGGATCCTTGGGGGAAATAAAGAGCGTCACATGCAATGTTATACAAGTCAACCAATCATTACTAACAATATCCATATTCATGTAATGTGTTTGGATAATATAAAAAATATAACATTCACAAGTCATAAATTTTGAATTATTAATACAAAAAAAGTTGTCTAATTAGTTGATAAACCTTTACGTGCTGTATCTTCCTCTTTCAACATCGATTAACTTCTTGAAAAATTGAGAGTATCCAAGGAAATATGTAAAAAGCGTTAAACTTACTCCAAATTTGGAGGGGAGAACTTCATCTGAAGGTCGCGAATTACAGATTTGACCTTCTCCCACGAGCTTTTGTGAGACCTTTTGAGCAGGGAAACAGTATCCAGGACATGCTTACGTAAGAGTGGATATTCTGCTTCATCTCGAACAACACGGTGGCCGGCGCCACCTTGTTGAACGGCGATCTTGAATTGAAGAACCACCACGGTGCAGAAGAGAAGGAACACTACAGTGCTTCTGCTTAAATTTTCCATCATGATGCTACCTTTTTTTTTTCTTGGGGGATAAGAAATAAAGAAAAGGTACTCGAAACGGAATTTTTCACTTTGCTCCATAATTTGCAGAGTCAGTGTTTTCAAGATTGGACACGTTCTTGCTACGTGGAGGATTCGTGGGGCTACAGGCTTGCATGTACATAGGGGTCAATGCTTGAAGTTTTCAAACTGTGTTGTGATTAGTTTTTTTTGTCCGCCAAAAACAAAAGATGTAATTAGGTTTTTTTTTTTCCTCCCTCCTTTTGGCCAAAAAAATGTACTTAATTAAAAACGGGGGAAAAAATAACGGATCTGATATCTTATTTTATACTCCCTCAATTTAAAAATATAAGACATTTTTTAAGGAGTTGAATGTTAAAAAATATAAATTATTTTTAGTATTTTGATATATAATCATTGTCTTTTTTTAAAAGTGCCCCTATAGTGATTTTATTTATTATAGGGTAGTTAATAGGGATAAATATGAAGAGATAGAGTTAGTTTGAAAGTAGGTGAGAAATTTATTGAAATGACATTCGATTAAAAATATCTTATATTTTTAAACGGAAGAAGTATATAAAATTTTCAATGTTCATTCAACGGTGAAGTGAATAGAAAATTAGCAATGATGGGATAAATCATTTAAAAAAAAGGAAGTAGTATTTAGAGAATATGGATATATATTACTTTTTGTTGGCTAAATAGATAGGTATTATTCATGGACGAAACAGGATGGTCATTGTTAAGTAATTATTTTTTGGTCAATTAATTAAATAAATCTTATTTAATATTATTTTTAAAATAAAAATATGAATAAACAATAATTTAATCTTCAATTGATTTATTTTTTTCTTCATAGTAATTTGGTCATTCTCATAAATGACTGATTCTCAATTTTAAGTTTTCATAATTAAAATGGTATGCACCAATATCGTCATAGCATGATACCCAATGCCCAAGTTGGCTTTCTTTTTTTTTGATACACAAGAAAAAAAAATTAAATGCCAATGTCAATGTCCTACACCAAAACAACTACAAATTTAGGAGAAGCAGAGGAAATAGGATGAAATCCATTAACACCAAAAAATGCTAATTTAGAAAGAAGAACGATAGCTTCATTAACGCCCCTTGAAATTCATTGAATGAGTACTACCCAACGCACACGTTGGCTTTCACTAATCGACTACAACGTTCCTGGGCAAAAGTTGAGTGAAAAAGGAGAGCTCAGATGCACGAGATGTCATCCGTCAGATCAGATGAGTGTGATTGAACATCAACCACAGGATGTGCGAGAATCTCCTCACGGCTCTCGAAATGCACCAGCCGGGAATCGAACCCGGGTCTGTACCGTGGCAGGGTACTATTCTACCACTAGACCACTGGTGCTATAGTTGTTTTCCACCTTTGGTTTTTTTATTTACCTCAAATTTATTAGCCGGTTTACAAAAAAACAAATGGAAAGGATTAAAAATAAATAAATATAAAATTAAATAGAATGATCCAATGTGGAAAGGAGATAATTCAACCATAATTTATTTCATAAGATTAAAAATTATTATTTTTTAGGTTTGTAGAGGTTATATTAATTCTTATATTTGTGATAAGATTTAAATCCTCTTGAGTTAAGATTGATGAATTTAACTGAATTTTTTTTAGTATTTTCACTTATTTTATTACTTTTTATAAAATATTCTCTCTCTTTTTCATTTTAAATCCTTCGTGATATGTGATATTGTGTTTTATTATGTTTACTGTGAATTCACGTTTATTCATTTTTTTATTCCATTTCATTCATATTTTTTCTAATAACTAAACAGGTCCTAAATTTTATTTTTCTATGTTCGCATCATCTCCTGTTTCAATTGTTTATTTATTTGAATTAATGTTCTTTTTTTAAATTATTTTTGTAGGAGCACCTAATATCTTAAACTCTTTATCATAGTAATGTTGCTCTTAAAGTAATTAAATTATAACAATCTTGCCCCTAACATTAGATGGGCAAACATTTACTATTAACTTTGACTCAAACTTAAAGTTGGGACAACATTGATATAATTTAATTACTTCAAAGGTAAAATTAATATGATTTAATTACTTTAAAGACAATATTACTATAATTTGAATCAAACTTATTTCTAAGTCAGCAAAGTTAACCATCAATGTTTGTTTATTTAATGTTAGGATTAACACTACTACAATTTAATTACTTCAAAGGCCATATTGCTATGATAAAAAATTTTAGATATTGGATACTCTTACACAAGTAGTTCATATGTAAAGATAAGCCTTAAACCTATTTATTTTTAGTTATCTTTAATTGTTGAAAAAATTAGTCTTTTGATTCATGAAATATTAACTCACTTATAACCCAATCCTTCAATTATGATTTAGTATAACTCAGTCTTTAAATTATTGACTCGCATAAAACTCAATCCTCAATATTTGCACCATTTATGAGTTGGCTCTTTTCCTCCTTAACTCATTCCATGTGGCAGTGACTGTGCATCAGAAACTAAGTATTTTTTGCCACATCAAATTATGACTAAGCACAAGAAAAAAAAAAGAAAGGAAAAGAAATAACTATAAACAAGCAAATGAAGTCAAATGAATGGCTCCGCGACCTCATTATGTCATTTCATTGGGAAGATTACAATGAATTTGAAGAAACATGGCTGTCTTGTGAGGCTTGTAAACTTTGAAGCATTTGAATTTGGATAACATTTGTATGGATAACCCTTAACGGATTAGGCTCATATAGAAATCTAAATTGAGAAATAGAATTTTTATCACAACTATGAGAATTGCTTGAGTTCAATGTGCAATTTATTCAAGGCCTCAAATATAATTTTCTCCCTTTTATATTTTAGCTTTTGAATTTGAGAGGGAACAGTTAACATAACCATATATGCACGTTCCTGACTTAGTGTTGGCTTATGGAAGTAGTTCACTCGGTTCTTTTGTTAAACAAACAAAAATAGTAACTTGCTCTTTAAGAGTTTTCTTCATTCTCATCCTCTTTATGTGTATTAGTTGTGAGTTATGAATTGAGTTTGGTTTGTAACTTCGTTCCCATGTACGGTATAGCACTTGGCTAAAACAACAAGTATACTATCTTCCTCAAAATCTTACAAAGATGTTTGTTTTCAATTAAATCAAGACATATAAATATTTTATAGATTATTTATTTTATAATAAATTCTTAATATTAACTTTGTTACCATATTAAGACCCACTTATCATGCTTTAATTGGATATAAATATATTAAGCATATAAAACTAAGTACATAACTCTTACCCTATCTCCATTGTCAAATATACACCTCTGTTATTAATAACAAAGAGTAGAGGAAAATAGAGTGTTGATGATATACTCTCTCCGATTCTTATTATACGACACTTTCAATCGTTTTACATATTTTAAGAAAAATTAATTTTTTTATTTCATAAAAAAATGATATCTACTTTTATTTTTACTCTTGATTTTAAATCATGATAGAAGTATATTAAATACTTTCAAATCAATCAAGAAAGGGTAAAATTAAAAAAAATAATTTAATTATTATAAGGCATCCTACATTTTGAATTAAAAATTACTTCTAGAAGATGTTCTATAAAATTAGCCCATTTTTGTCTTTGTTGATAATAAATTAATAATACATTGCTCAAGAAATTTATAAGTTAATTTCAACAATATTGAAGTCTTTATACACCAGCATGGGAAGAAGAGATACTCAAGGTGACGACTTCCATATGTGGATAGCGATTAAGCTCTATTATACGCATTGCATACATACTGTTGTCTCTATCACTGTCATTTTTTGTTATCTACCATGACTTTTAACGATATTCTAAAATGAAAATTCAGAAAGTTTAAATACTGAAAAAAAAAAAGAAAATTTGACCCATTTAAGTAGAAGAGGTGAAATTATATCTACGCAAAGAGTCTACCAATTCAAGTGCTTCACCACACACAAATTTTATTCTAATTCGCCAAGAGAATGACTCAATTTATTTCAAAATAAAATTTAAAATTTAATTTTTCTTTAAAAAAAACAAACAGCAAACTAGCTCTGTGACTTTTGTCACTAGAGTTGGGAATACGGACGAGCTCAGCCCTTAAGGGCCTGAGCCCTAAAGACGGTTCCCTATTTTGAACCCTGTTTTTTAAGCCCGGCCTTTATGTGAAAGGCTCAGGACCGGGCCCGTAAGCCCTTTTTCAAAAAAATAAAAAATAAAAATAAAATTAATTATAAATTAATTAAAATATTCTGAAATTAAAAAAAATAAAATTTTCATAATTTTTTTAAAAATTAAACAACACACATTTAGAAGTCTAGTAATAAAATTTAAATATTGGTTAAAAAATAATTTATTTTTTATAAATATACAAACATAATAATTATAGAAAAATAAAAAAATATCAGAAATTTTATACTATACACTGATATTTATTAAATTATATTAAATTAATTTTAGAAGAAATTTAAATTAATAATAATATAATGTGTGTGGGATCAGGTGAGCAGGTCATTGGCTTCAAACACGTGTTTTACCAAAGAAAATAATAATAATATAAAAGGGCTTAAAGGGCTACCCGAGCCCGAGCCTTTTTTTATAGGGCTTATCAGGGTCAAGCCCTCAAGCCCGATTACTTTAAAAAAATTATTTTTAAAACCCAAACTCTTATCTAAACAGGGCCTCCAAACTTGGCCCTCCAGGCCTGACCCTTATTCTCGATTCTATTTGTCACTTACTTCTACAAGCTCAAATTTCTATGCCTCTTTGTTGTCACCTTCTCACAAATTGACGTGTAGGATGACTCAACAATGAGATATGAAGGAAAGAGATTTACTTATAAAAAGTAAAAAGATAAGAGACTGAGTTTGAAACAAGTTAATAATTTAGGAACCTAGTTATATTAAATCATATTTAAAGAACTAAGTTTAGAGCAAGTCAATTGATAAGATTCATTGTTACACAATTTTTTTTTACAGCCACACATTTATTAGTTTAAAAAGACCATTTTAACACACCCTAATAGCTTCCTTATGCATTTATATTGCATTCTCATATGTACTAAGGATATTTTGATCATAAAATGTATTTTTTCACAATTGTGAGATTATGCATTAGAATTATGTCTTTTGATGAGTTAAGATGATTGGTCAAATTAATTTTTATTGATTCATCATAGATTGAAAGTTGTTAAGAAAAGATACACTTTAAGGTTATTTCTCTAAAAGGTTTTTACTTAATTTTAGATTTTAGTTTAAGTATGTGCTTATTTACACTTGTGTCTTTTGAGACCTTTGCATTCATTCATATTCCCTTAGTCATTTTTATATCTAGGTTGAATTAAATATTTCTATCTTAGTCCAATTAAATAAATGTTACACTATGATAAATTGCTTATTTGATTAAATTATGATTTAGGTAAATTAATGTGAGAATTGAAAATATGATTTCAGGCAAACCAAAAAGGCTTCTAGAGGACAAAAGTGGCGTCACAATAAAGGGTTCAAGGAGGTGTAGCTTAAGCTAAGAAGTAAGAAGTGTACATTGCATTGGATTGGAAGACCACATAAATTATCACAATTTCTCTCCAAAATAAAAAGTAGTTTTGACTACATGGACTTATGGTTGAAGACCACAACGGCTTAACAAGTTTCCATTACTTTTTATCATTTTTCACCTTAGCAATTTCTTGCAAGATCTCAAACATTCAAATTCTTTCTCAATTTTCTTACCTTCAAACATTTTCGCACACTTTCTCACTCATTCATCCACTTTCTCACCCAATTAATCATTCATATCTCTCTCATTTCTCCACCAAATCATATAAGACTACTCTTATTCCCTCCCTCTTCTCAAGTTCATCCACTTCTTTAGATCTAATCAAGGATTGAAGGCCAAAATCATTCATTGAAGAAGATGAAATGGTACAGCCTAGTGGGTTCAACTCTTGAAGCTTTAAAGATGATGATGAGAGGCTAAATTTCTCAAGTAATCCTAGAGGGATGATGGATGGAAGATAAATCAAAAGGATACACATGGCTAAGACTTTCTATTCTCTTAGTTTTTTTCATTTGAATTGATGATTGATTCCTTAGTCTAGGGTTGATTCGTCATAATTTTATAATTCTAGTTGAATTCATCTTATTATAATGAAAAATACTTATTTAGTTGACTATATTTTTATGAGAATTGTAGTATTTGATTCAGCTATCTCTAGCTGAATGCAAGGTTTCATGTTTTTTTTTTTAATTGATGATTGTCTTACTTTACTCTTACATAGTCTTATGAGTACATTAGAAAGGACTTTACATAGTCTTATAATTCACTCTAACCTAAGGCTAGCCATGGCCTCATAAAGAACCAGCTAACTAAGACACTTGGTCAAGTCTAAAACCAAACTAAAAAAATAACCTAAAGTCATTAGTTAATGACTTAAGGAATTGGACTAGCTAAGTTAAATTTTCTAAAATAATTTTCATAAAGACTTTAATTTGGCCAAGAAAGGAAAATTAACACCAAAACCATAATTAATGAAAAATATAATGATTATTCTACTATCTAAACTTTAGGATTCCATTTCATTAAAGGGAATTCACATACATTTCCTCTAGCTTAGGTTTTTTAGTACTTCTAAGTAGATTAGTTTAGTCAAACTTCAACCAAGCATGAGTAACTTGTAGCCTTAGATAACCTCACTCTTAATTTAACTACTTCCTTGAGAGATGACTTAAGTTGAACCTCATATTATATTAGAGTTAGTTTAGTATTGATAATTTTAAGAGTGAGTGACAACCTTGTTCATCAATGCTTCAAAGACTAAAAGAGTAATTTTCTATTAATTCTTTATTCCCCAGTACTCATTGAAAACAAGAATGGCATTGGGTTCTTTCACTTTCTTTCAATTCTACTTAGTGATATACTTTCTCTGTTAAAAAATGTAAGACATTTTAATTTTTTAAGATGTAATTATTGTCTTTTTTTTATAAGTATCCCTATTAATAATGATTTTATACTTATTGTAGAATATTTAATAGAAATAAATATGAAAAGATAGAGTTAATTTAAAAGTAGGTAATTACTTTATTAAAAAATAAAATTTAATTAAAAATGTCTTATATTTTTTAAGAGAAGGAATACATTTTTGGCCCAGCTTCATATACATAAAGAAAACAAAAACGGGTTGATCATATACTTCATTAAAGAGCTTACGCATTGGAGTTTTTCAATTGGCATGTCAACGTCATGTAAGTTCAAGTTGCCTCAACTTCCTTATTTGATGGCAAATCAACTTTAATCAGCCAACGTTTTAGTCATAAGTATCCCCACATATCACAGAAAGAAGTAATTAGTCTGAGCTCTCATTAAGTTCCCGCAAGTACATATGGAGCAAGCCAGTAACAGAATCACTCATGCTTTGGTCTATATAAGCTTTTATCAACTGGGAAAATCCCTTGATATTTTACAGACAATAAACTGTCGACATTTTCAACAGAAAGTAAAATAAATTTTAAATACAGAAAATTCGATCTTAAGACTATTGATGCTTCCCAAAATACCTCTTGTATTGATAAAGCCTCTAAAAAAAATGAAAGAATGAATTCACCACTTACAAGTAAAATGGTGAAGCCATTGCAACATGTGTCAGACATTATAACTTCATTCTAAGCAAGAATATGTGAGTGTATCAGCAAATGAATAATTACCCAATGCAGAGGTCCTCAGACATTAATATCTGAGCGCTTTGTTCTATTACCTGCACCGCTCTCTGAGGAGCTAGAAAAAGAAAATCTGGGGAAGCTATAGCTTTCAGACATTGAAGCTGGCTGTTGAGAATAAAGCATGGGTGGCGTCGCGAGATTACCCAGAGCCCAAGGGTGCGGAGTGAGATTTCCCGGAGCCCAAGGGGGCGGAGGCATGTTATACATGTAAGAGTCACCTCTTTGACTGCAGTCACCAATAAATTTTTCTAAGCAATGACGCAAAGCCAACTAAAGAAAGAAAGCAACTAGATGGAACCAAACCCAATAATATCGAGAGCATTAGCATGCCCCAAATGAAATCAAGCAAGAATTTTCCCTTCCAAAAGAAATTTTAGAGTAACGGATTGTGATGATAAAAAAGGAACTACAGCTTCAGAATGATTTGCCAGGCAACCAGAAAATACCTTCCAATAGAAGACTGATCATCTTCATCAACCACATTGTCATCATCTATACGCTGAGCAGGTCTTGGAACTGAAGAAATGGACCATGCGCTCGGAGCAGGTATTTCATCTGAAAAATATCTTCTCCTGATCAACTAAAAGAAAAAGGAATTAGAAAAGTCAGATGATACCCCATTCATTTATTTACGGGAGGAGGAAAAATATCAGATACTATACAGACCATATGAAAAAATTTCATCACAGCTTCCTTGTCATACCTTGCTCCTTTTGCAGACTGCAGATGTCCAAAATATAAACCACCATGTCAAAAAATTTCATACAAGTGCAAAAACATAAGAGATCTATGCATCAAGTGTCATCACTCATCAGATGCGGCTTTCTATATCTTAGTCACATAATTTATTTGTGATAGGAAGTACCTAATAAGTTTAAAGGAAACTTTTATTAAACTACTATAAAACCAACCATATTACAAGTGAATATTAGACTTTAAAGGGACAACAAAAGTGTAAAGTTAGTAGTAGAGATGAGGTGCGGAATGGAGGTGTGAGCATGCACGAAAAGACAAAACATGTAATGAGCACATGCAAGAAAAAGTAGATATGGCGTCTATCGAAGAGAATATAGTAGAAAATTGTTTGAGATAATTTGTACATGTATAAAAAAGGCTGTGGGAGACACCGGTAAGAAAAGCAAAACAAATAATCTTGACCCCTATGAAGAGGCATGAAGGAAAACCAAAGAGAATTCTCAAGGAAGTTGTTGAATGAGATCTTTTGGTTAACAATATACCCAAAGGCTAAGTTGTAGATAGGGCACAAAGATGTCATGCAATCCATATAACCAACCCCATTTAATGAGACAAGACTTGTTGTTGCATAATTTATTTTAGGTTTTTAATTACTTAAAGAGAAATCAAGATCCCCAAGCAGTATATATTTAGCCTCTCCAGTTCAAAACCAAAGCTCAAAGCACAGTGGAATACCATAGATAAGTCCATCATTCATGCTAATCATTCGAGTGCATTATTGTGTACATTTACATAAAAGTATAGGCTAGTTGTTGAAGTACAAAACAAGCATGACAAAAATTTGAAAATACCACTATATTAGCATGTACTTCAAAATTAAAAGCAATTAACATGAAATAGCAGATTATTGAATTCTGTCTGTACTCGAAACAAAAATTTCATGAAGTAGCATACTGTAAAACTGACATATAGAATATTTTTGTCGAGACACTCACTGCAACTAATCCTCCACTGCCAGGAAAACTCTCATTCAGAGGAATCTCCTCACTTGATGGAAGCAAACCCTGCTTCTCAACCCATTGGCGAGCAACATCAACAAGATTCCCACTGCTGACTCTTCTACCCTCTTTTGAAGCAACATCAACTTTGTTACCAATAACAATATGGGGAACAGTAAGGCCGCCAGGACCACCAGACCTCAAAGGGGCAGAAAAAGTCCCTGTTGCAGCAATCTCAGCTGCCCACTTCTGTAAACTAGCCTTTGTTCTTTTCTGGGAGAGATCGTGAACAAAAATTACACCTGCGGATTAAGTTTAAATAAGAAGCCTCAACTTTAAAAATGGACACTCTGGTTTCATATAATTGATTATTCAGGCTTCATTAATTAGAAATGAATTCTAGCAGTAGACAATTCCATAAACCTAACTACCATTGAAATATGGACGCTAGTATAGAAAATAGTAGCAGAAGTGTGCCATCCAACTAAGTGAAATCCAAACTATCAATTTCAGATAAATTTCAAATGCATAACAAAATTAGCTGATTCTCCATTAAGTTATTTTGAATGAAGCAGCAACACTCACTTAAGAGATAACATTTAGAGTATATCATTTATTCATATTGAATATATAGGGCTTAAGAAGAGAAACCAAAGGTACATGGGGTGGTTATTAAAGTCTCATAAATTTTCTTCTCTTTGAAGACTTTAACCTATAATAAATTGCAAACACGCAATTTCTTCCTAAAGTTTAAACAATTAAGACAAAAGGATTAGATTATTAATTATTACTTACCATTAATCTGTGCATAAAATAGAGACCTGCAATCTTTGTACCGATCATGTCCTGACACATCCCAAAGTTCAATGAAAAAGCCTCTCTCAGAGTCACCTTTAAGACTATTTGAAGAGCTGCCAGAGTTGCCATAAGTTGTGTGCTGGAAGAAAGTAATAGCGTATGGGACACCTGGTGAAGATTTGTACTACAGCAACAATTATGCATTTTCTTGTGTGACCAGAGAGTGGGAAGTCTTTACCTTCACACCAACTGAACAACCTATTGTCTGAGGAGGGCGAGCAATGGAAGAACCTCTGATGATCAAATGAACTAGGGAAGTCTTCCCAACACCTGTAAGAACATTAGAATATAAAATGACTCAGATTAGGACTCATCTGTGAAGAAAAAAGGTCGATATGATATGACTGACATACTTAAAAGAGCTATATAGTGACTACGGATGTAGTAATAAAGAGATCCAAACCATGAATTTTCCTATCGATGGGCAGTCTACATGCAATACTCAGTCCCCTGCTATAATTATGGAACCTGCTACAGTTATGATTTATAGAAAATGATCTCTTCCCCCAAAATTATAAAGACTTTTGCAAAGATCAATGGCTCCCCAAGCAAAAATTTCTATCAATGAGATGAAACAGTCAATGCCTATCATGCATGCAAAATATCATTTACGCCAGATTAATATTTCATGCCACATCTTAGCTCCAATGTTATAGGATGCCTTTCAATTTAATACATAAAAATTATGATTCAATTGTCAAAAAAATTGCCGCGTGAGTTGAGGACAACTGCCACAGAAATATGCATTTGCAATTTCGACCATCTTCAAGTTGTTTCTCAAGCAGAAAAGTCGTTGACAATTTCAAAATCTGCCTAAGCAAAATATTTTCTAAAAGCCTGTCCGAATGGAAAATATATCTAATACATTAAAAATTGGATTTCTGTCACCTTGTATACAACACACTATGTGCTGGTTTATAGGTGTAATGTAATTCCTGGAATTACCTAGGTTCACCATTGTTTTATAAGGGTGTCATTGGCACTTCTAGGAAGATAAATACCATTCAATCGATTGAGAGATAAATAACTTACTTTCATTCACATCACACAATTTTTGAAATTTGGTCGTGAAGCTTCACTCTAGGAAATAGTCAGCCCCAGAATAAAATTTGAGCACAGAAGATTGGAAAGGCAATACTAGAATGAAGAAATCACTCACCTGAGTCACCAACAATGAGCACTCTAATCTGCCCACACGGCGGCCCACCGTTCTGGCTGCTATTCTCCCTCTCGCGGTCCCTCCGGAACATGTTTGCCTCTTGACACTCTTCACAAGTTTAGCTTCAAACGCAATTACAAAGACAAAACCTCAGAACAATTTCCCGGAACATCAACCGATAACGGATTCAATCTTCACGAAAAGGACCAGATTCTCAGTATGGAAATTCCGACTTCTATTCTTCCATCTCATGTAAAAATTAAGTGAGTATCCAAGCAGAGCCAGAAATCAGATACAGCCAATTATTTCACATCTCGGAAAATTAATCAAATCACTTTAGTCGACGGACCTGACAAGAAGTCGCGAAGGAAATAACAAAAAAATGAATCGACCAAGAGAAGGTCAAGCAAGTTCGCTCAAAGTTGGCAAAAAAAATCAGAAGTTATGCAAATAGGATAGTGAATTGACAACTTGCAGAAGATTTGTTATCAATCAGCAATATTGAGAGAGGCCTACGGAAAGCACTACGGTAGGCAAACACAAAAGCCTCTGGAATCTGGATCGAAAAAGGAGTCGCGCGAAATTACAACAAAACTTGAAAGAATGAGATCTCGCTGATCCACGTGAATGCAGCATTTTTCTTTCCTTTTCCCGTCGTTTTTGTATTTTATTTCCATTGATCGTGTTCGTGTCCACAGTCCAGGGTCACGTTCACCGACAAATAAAAATGTAATATTAACGTTACAACTCCAATTAATAATCATTATGCTCATAAAAATTGCATCAGAGCCCCACATAAAAAATTTAATTATCAAGAGATCTTTTACAACAACAACAACAACAAGCCTTTATCCTACTAGGTGGGGTCGGCTACATGGATTGCAAGACGCCATTGTGCTCTATCATTTATTAAACTTTTAGAAAGATCTTTTAAAATATCAAGAGATCTTTTAAAATATATAAAATATTTTTAAATTTTAAATCTTACATATTCATGACTTGATAAAAAATATTTACAATTAAATAATGAACATTATAAGTTACTATTACAAATGATCCCACACTATTGGTCAGGGGCATAGAACAGAAGAAAGTAAGAAGAATAAACTCAAAAACGCAACAGCAGCAAGGCAGTATTAGAGAGGAGGAGTGATGGTCCGAGAACTCGAAGGCGTGCTTATCACTTGGTCCGCATGCAATCCCTTATATGAGCCACAATCTGAACACGAACGCTAGACACTTAAGATGTCATATTAAAGACCATAAGACACAATTATGCACCGGTTACAAGAGTGTAAACCACCATTAAGCATTTGTCTAGAAATATTGGAAAATAATAAGTTTTGATGACATCCATTTTAGAATCTAAAGGTCTGTTTAAAGCCAAAAAGCTAATGGCATTCAAGCTTAAATTTCAAACTGCCAAAATTCAAGGTTTCCAGATAAGCTATTTTAAATTATTAATTATTTATTTTTTGTAAAAATAAATTTGATAAAAAGTACCTGGTACTGCCTTAACCCACGCGAAAGGGAATAATCAGCTATTTTTATCTATAATTATTTTGTATTGGCCTGTCTCGTACATGTAATCCGACTTCTCTTTTTTAAACCCATTTATTGGCTCATTTTTATTTTTTGATATTTAAACTCTTGGATCTCCTTTTATGTGAGCAAAATGAGATTTGTCATTTCAATTCATCACTCAATTATTACAACAAATACTACGTAAATGGTGGAAAAGGAGACGAGATTATATGAAAGGGAGCTGGTCACCTAATGCACACTTAATAATTACATAAGGTGTAGCAATTTATGAGAAATTAATTTAAAATAAACCAACGAAGCTCATAAAATATAAAGTTGAAAGTGAGACCAAGCATTCATACGTCGTGTCTACATATTTTTATGCAACAATGACACAAAACAAATGAAGTATAAATATAGTTCATACTGATTTTAAGAGCTTACAATTTGGTGAATTATACAAAAAACTATTACAATATATAATTTCTCCCTAAAACATGGATACATATTTTTACTTTCATGAAAGCTTGAAATCACACCTTTATGATTTATAAATTTTTAAACCAAAAACTCTGTTCACATAACTTTGAAAGGGATTTTGTGACTTTAATTATTCATAAGTCATTAGAAAAGGGCCATTTAAAAAGTGTTGTGTTTGCAAGATTTACTGTGAATGTACGATAAATTATTTTTAATAGAAACTAGTTAGTTTTTACAATTTATTACTTTTATAATACATACTAAAAACATAAACATCTTATTTTATTTATGAAGTTATTATTCATGAAAAAAATTAAAAGGTTATTTAGAAACTACAGAAATAGGAAATATGTTAATATTATATCATAAAAATACAATATAAAAATGTTAATATTTCATGATAAAAACACAATACATAAATGGTTACCAGAAAAAATACAATATAAAAATATGTCAATTGTTAATAAGAAAAATGATAATAAAATTCTTTGAATTGTATAAATAATAATTTAATCCCTTAAAATGTCATAATTCATTAAAGTTTTATGATAATTTTCTATCGTTAATGAATTAATATAAATAATTAAATTATTCTTGTTAAAAATAAAAATCATAATATTACTACAAGTGTTGGAAATAATAAGTAATGATTATAAGTTTTATTAAATTATCACAACTTTACTTCTTATATTCGCAACAATGCAATAATAAATCATAACTTTCTATGTCAAATTACTGACATTGCTACAAGTGCTGAAAATAACAAGTAATGATTATAAGTTTTATTTAAATAATCACAATTTTTTCTTATATTCACAACAATACAATAACAAATCACAAATTTGCATATCAAATTCTAGATATTGCTACAAGGATAATTTGATCATTTATATAAATTTATTAATGATAAAAAAGTCCTTAGAGACTTCAGTGTAATTATGACATTTTAAAAAATTAGATTGTCATTTATATAATTCAGATAGATTTTATTGTCATTTTTCCTTGTTAATATGATATCAAAGATAAAAATATGTTAACATAATATTATAAAAATCTAATATAAAAATTTTATTAAATATCAATAGTTACAATTAGATATGCGTTTTTTTTAAAACAAAGCAAAAAAATATTATGATAATAAAAAATGTAAAAAAAAAATCATATTTTGCAATGAGTATGATTTATGTACTTAATATATTCTTATATATTCAAATCATAACATGTGAATTTCTTTTTTGTAATAATATTAATAAGACTAAAGGTGCAAGTTTGGTCATATATTATTTTTCAAGGAGTATCTGATAGTCTAAAACTATTAGATGGTATAAAATAAATCATGAAATTTTAAAAATGGAGCATCCAATAGCCCGTCATTAACTTCAGCTAACAAACGTTATGTGGAGCTCACCATGACACGTGGCACAATACAAGCATGACACCCCAGCATGGTAAGGATACAAATTTAATTGCAAACTATTTTTCAAGAAATATTGGATAGCCTCTACTATAAAAAAATGAACCATCCAACACTTTTTCCTTAATTTTGACCAAACAAAGTTTATTTTCATACTTATAAGATTCACAAATCATTAATCTCTTCAATTTTCTTGTCTTCATTCTCGATCTTTGTTTGAGAAAAAGAGTTTCAACAAGTTTTTATCTGAAGACATTTATAAAACGACACTAACAAAGTAGAAGAAATGATTCGTGACTAAATTAAATTAGAATTAAGCTTCTCCATGCATTATAAAATCAAGCTTCTACATCGTTAGCATCATCTTTGTGAATGTCTTCAGATAAGAACTCTTTAAACCTCTTTTTCTTGAACTGATATTGAGAACAAAGGTAAGAAGATTGAAAAGATTAATGCTTTGTGGGCCTCATAAGTATAAAAATAAACTGTATTTGGTCAAAATTAAGGGAAAGGTGTTAGATGGTTCCTTTTTTTTTTATAGTAAAGGCTACTTAGTGCTCCTTGAAAAATAGTTTGTGGCTAAATTTACACCTTTATCATGCTGATGTATTGTGCACGTGCCATTGTGGGCTCACATAACATCTGTCAGTTGAAATTAATAGTGGGCTACTGAATGCTCTATTTTTAAAAGTTCGTGATTTATTTTACATCATCTAATAGTTTAGACTACTATATGCTCCTTAAAAAATAGTATATGGCTAAATTTTATACTTTACCCTATTAATAATAATAATTTGTTATAGAATAAATAATCTATGAAATATCCACATATCATAATTTAATTGAAAATAGATATCTTAAGTACATAAAAATAAGTAGGGTTAATAAGCAAAATGGACCCTAAAATATTAAACGAAAAGCACTTTGAACCCTAAACTCTTAAAATATGCAAAATGAATCCTAAATTTTTAAATTCATAGCAAATTAAAACTTACCGTTAACTTTTTGTTAATGATGTTACTATTCACCATGGGACCCAATCAAACACTGATGTGGCAATCCCTTGATGATGTGTCATTTGTTAATTAACGCCACAAACCCTAAACAATTACGTGAGTTGCATCTTGGACTTTTAATTTTAAAATTTTGAGCAAATTAATCCCATCATTTATGCATAGAATGTTAACTATTACATAGATCAAATTAGTCTCAACATGGTCCGCCGAGGTGAATGCATCATTGGCCATGGCAAACAATTCATAATTTTGTAAAATGATGTTCTTTGTCCTTTTTTTGCAATGTTTTTCAAACGATTAGTATTTTATACTTCCGTATACTTTACAACTTTAATTTAGTCTTATTTTAAATAATATTTATTTATTTAATGATAAAAACTTGAGATCCCATTGAAAAAGAAGTTTAAATATCAAAAAATTTTAATTAACCAGTTAATTTGAGTTTAAAATTCATTAATGAAATCATCGACTTTTGCATTCATTGTTTGTAAAATCCTCTAACACTAAAACTTATTTTCTAATGGGATCCCAAGTCTTCATCATTAAACAAATAAATATTATTCAAAATGAGATTAAATCAGAGTTATAAAGTATACAAAAGTATGAAATACTAATCGTTTAGAAAACATTGCAAAAAAGGGACAAAGAATATCATTTCACAAAATTATGGGTCGTTCATTGTGATCAATGATGCATTCATTGCAGCAAATCACACTGAAACTAATTTAATCTACATAATAGTGAACGTTCTATACATAAACAGTAGAGGTAATTGCTTGAAATTTTAAAGTTTGAGCTCTAGGATGTTACTCACATAATAGTTTGGAGTTTATGGCACTAGTTAACAAATGACACGTCAGCATTTGACTGGATCCCACGATGAACAGTACAGTTCGTTAACAAAAAGTTAATGGTAAGATTAAATTTGTTATAAATTTAAAAATTTAAAATCTATTTTGCACATTTTAAAAGTTTAAGATTGAAGGCGATTTTCGTGCAATGATTTAGAGTCCATTTTGTTCATTAACCCAAATAAGTATATAAGTTTTTTCCCATTTTTTTTAAAAAGCCATTGGTAAGATTTATTATCAATATGACAAATATACAATAAGTGATTTTAATAACAACTCACTACCTTATACTAATAGAAATTGCGTCTAATAGAAGTGATTAGTTTGAATTTTTATTAAAAAAGGTACTCATATTTAATATCTGATTGTATCATGAATATAATTGCTTTTAATAGAAGGATTTGAATGAGCAATCAACTTGTTATTTTTTTTTTACAAAAAATTTTACTCTTATGCATATTAAAAATATAAACACCTTATTTTATTCATAAACTTGTTACCTTGGAAAAAATTAAAATATAATTCAAAAATATAAAATATAAAATATGTTAACATGATATCATAAGAATATAATATAAAAATAATTTGTAAATATCAGTAGCTTTGATCCAACATGCTTTATTGTTTTATAACAAAAAGATAAATAAACAGAATAAAAATATATTGTAACAAAAAAGTTGAGAACGGACAATTAATTTTTCAAAAAAAAAAAAAAAATCGTCGGCGGCACCCACAACCACGGTTAGGTTCCTGAAACGCTGAAAGTTTTTATATTTTACAATATAAAAAGATAAGATAAAATAATAAAAAAAATGATAATAAAATTCTCTCAAATTATATAAATAATAATTTAATTGTTTAAAATATTATAATTTTATTAAAGTTATTAAAGAATTTGTATTAATTAATTTTAAATTAAAAATATTATTTTATCTTTATTGATAAGTTGTGATTTTTATTCACTTTTATAATTTTTTAAGTAAAGTTGTAATTCCTTAAATAAAGGTTATAATTGAGGTTTATTATTTTAAAAATTTATTTTTAAATAACAGAAATTACAGTTCATAAATTGTGATTTTTTATTTAATTCTTACAACTTATAAAAAAGAATTATTATTTTTTAAACAAAAATTATAATCGAGATTTATTTTTTCATAATAAAAATTATACTTGACAATTATGATTTATTATTCAACTCTTATAACAACATAAAATTTAATATTTCTTAAGTAAAAATTATAATTGAAGCTATTTATTTTTAATAAAGATCAAATGATTAATTTTTTTAAAATAAAAATATAATGAGTCTAGAGTGAATATAAGAGGCTGAAGATTGAGAATGGGCCTAGTACATACTTTCATTGATTTGGGCCATTTAATAGTTGTGGGTGTTGTAGCCGATTAACTTTTTTCCAAAAAAAAAATAAAAAAAGAATTATATGGCAAAGGAGAATAAGGAAAAGTGTAAGATCTATAAAAAAAAAAAATGTGGGTGTGAAAATTTAAGAGAGGATAACAAGTTGCTACTTAAATTTTACTTTGAGGAAGGATAACCCATTCTAAAATAACAAAATCTTCTTTATAACATTAATATGAATAGAGGAATAAATTTTAAATTAATTTATGTGAAAATAGAAAGGTTATTGTTTATTGAATAAAATAATTTTTGCTTGCATTCAAGCACAACTAAGGATAACAAATTCTAAAATCAAGAAAATTGTCGATTATATCTATCCTTTTAAATATCTAATGCATGTACGATAAATAACAAAAATAATTATTTTACTTTTATTGTCATATTTATTTATGTTCGGGAATAAAAATATATAATTATTTAAGCCACCAAAAAAAAGATATAATTATTTATAGTTGAAAAAATTGAGAAGTGGGGTCAAAATTGTTTAATTAATTTTTAACCCCACATGCCATTTTTTTACAAAAATCAAACTTATTAAGATCTGTTTCCTCATTTCTCCTCTATAATCAAACTAGGGATTATTGTTCTCATGTGTCCCACAGGTATAAAATCTAGTTATATTTATTTATAAGTTTAAAATAGCTCAATATTAGGGTAGATGCATGGCATAAATTAATGCTTTGCTTATATAGGGAAAGAACATGGAGTAAAATAAGAGAAAATGACTTTTTCTTTGGACAAAGGAAAAAAAATGAGAAAAAATTAAAAGAAAGATTTGCTCGAGTTTTGATATAAGTCCCTACACTTCACTTTCAATATTTATATCCTTACACTTTCTTCATTTGCAATATTAGTCCCTATATTTTATTCAGGTTTTGATATATGCTCCTGTACTTCACTTTTGATATTTTAAGTACTTACAATTTTTTTATTTTAAAAGAATGTTGATGTGCCATAAGCAGTGTTAATAACACAGACATGTCAATTAACAACATTACTTTTGTATTTATATATCAAATTGATGTTGATATGAAATTTTTAATAAGCAAAAATTTTAAAAATTTGCATCAGATGAAATAAAAAGGCTAACCTAGACTCTTTAAATAATTAACAAATGCAAAAATTCCATGCAGGCATTTTTTTAATTTTTTTTTTAAATTTTCATGTTACCATTATAGTTTGACACGTAACAAATTTAACGATGTTAGTTGACATGTCAGTATTATTAACATCGTTTGTGACATGCCAACATTCCTTTAAAAATGTAAGGATTAATGTTGCAGATGAAAAAAAGTGAAGGGATCTAAAATATTAAAAATAAAGTGCAGATATTTATATTTAAACTTAAGTAAAGTACAAGAATCAAAAATAATTTTTTTAAAAAGAAAAATAGGCACTATATTTTCTTTTCAACTTTTCATTTTTCAAATAGAGAGAGATTTTGGGAATAATCTCCCCCAAACAACTACCCTCTTCTCTCCTCTCCTCCTCCTCCTCCTCCTTATTATTATTATTATTATTATTATTATTATTATTATTATTATTATTATTATTATTATTTGAATTACGGTGGTGTAATTTTATTTTTTATTTATTTTTTAAAAGTGTGGATATTTTATATTCTTACGTGGGATAATTCTTTTTTTAAATTATTTTTTAAAGAAACAAAATGTCCTTCTATTATTTAATCATTAAATATTTCGTTTTTTAATGAAACGTCAGAGACCCACTAAATCGTCAAAAGTCAAATCCTCTTCTCTTTGACTAAGTCAAGATCAAGATATGCAAAGCACCTCTGAGGTCCCACTTTCTGATTTCCATAACCAATATATCGTAAAAAATGGAAGAATCCCAAAGACACGATTGTGATTTCACATAATCCTCGACATTGTAGATCCAATCAACGAAATCCCAAATAAAAAATGAAATGTTTGAGCAATCAAAAGGAAACCCACAATATAAGTTTACATTTTAACAATGGAAAAGTTACATTACAAAAAAAAAAAAATGGGGAAAGGAGGGCTCCGACCCTGTTTGTTTCAAGCGGTGAAAAGAATGGCGACAATCTCATCGGCAACAAGGCACTCTGCGATTAGAGTTGGACGAGGATTTCAAGAAGATGCAGAGGGTCATCATTTTTGCAAGATGGTGTTGGTGGACACAACCATGACGACCAAGTGACTGTTGGTTCCAGGTTTCAACTAATCTACTTTAACGAATACTAGCTTCCTCTTCGCAGGTGTGTTAGCAAAAATGCAATCAGAGAACTGCAAGTCCCTAGAAGCTCAGTCAAAATGAAGAAAGCAACAGACTTATGAATTGGATGAGAAGAAAAATCAAAGAACCCGATCATCAAATTTCAAATTGAACAACAATCTTTAAACCTCTATCTTTAACTCACACTATTACATGTATACCCAGAAAACTCCTCTCTCTCCCCAACAACAATGATTCAAGACTTGTATCATTTCAAGTAGGTTCCCTATCATCTTAGTTTGGACACAAGAAAGGCACCTTCGTTTGCCTCAGATGCAAAGTTGTCCACTCACAAGGAAGGTAGCAGATGGAAAAGGAAGCAAAGGTGGATAAAGCTCTTCATATGGCTTGGTTAGACGAATGGTGAAGGATGAAGGAAATGACTAAAGCTCTCTCTCTCTCTCTCTCTCTGCGCGCGCTGCAATTGACAAACATGACGGAGGTAGATGACTTGGTTAGAGAGATGAGGATTTGACTTTTTGACAATTTGTTGGGTCCCATGCAATGACACATTTTCAAAATACAGAATATTTAACGGCTAAGAAATCAAAAGGCATTTTTCCTCGTCTAAAAAAATAATTTAAAAAAATTATTTTATTTAAAAGTATATAATTTTTAACGCTCCTTGAAAAAAAGTATAAATATAAAATTAAACCTTTATCCTCCTTATTTTTTGCATTTGAGCAACCCTCATTTTTGTTTTTGCACCATAGTGACGACCCATGTTCATGGGACCAGCAAAAGAAGAACAAAATGAGAAAGAAAAGAAAAGGGGCAAAACTATAATAAAAAATGGTTAATTACTGGGTCATGGGGATGCTTGGATTGATCATTGGAACGTTGGGAGCTTTGGAGAAAAGAATTACGTCCTCATCTGTGTGGGGTTCGACCTCTGCCATGACCCATTGCCCTAAAATATGAGTTAACTAGAAAAACGGGTTTTTTTTGGTATCAAAGGGAAATGGAGAAAGTGAGGAAGCAAGAGGACCACAACAAACAATCGACTTTACGTACTTTAGCAATTGATTTGATTTAAAATTATTTAATTTTAAAATATAATAATATGAAAATACTTTTTAACAACTAATTTGATGTTATTGATTTTAATATAATTTCTACTTTCAATTTTTTTTTACAAAGATAATTTACATGAAATATGTTATATTTTAATATAAAGGTATTATAATTATTATGATATATGTTCATTTTTTTCATTGGTTTGCTTTTTTTTTCCTATCCAAATATAGAGAGTGATAATATTTTTTTCTAATTTTTTTTTTCATTTTTACTTTTTTTATTTTCTTTTTCTCAACTTTTTTCCTATCAAAACGGATGGTGAATCATGTAGTGTTTTTATAGTATATTGCACCGTTGGCATTTCTATTACTAATAGTACTAATACAAAACCATGCATCATGTACCAGCAAGGCATCGATTAGATCATAAAATTAAACAATACAAGAACAAAAGTTTGGTGGCATATGGACTAACAAGTGTTGGTCTATAAAGAATGTTCAACGTTTTAAACGCGAGGTTTGAAGATATATGTAAAACTCAAATTTAAATTAGTCAAAGTCTATCTAATGCCATTTTGACACTAGATTTTTTTTTTTTCAAGAAGTCGGTGTAAAATAGCAAACAAAAACAACTACAAATAATTAACAATAATATTAATAAAACACAGCGCTAAGTATATTATTTGTACACGTCCATTCAGTTGAAGCGACATCTTATGGTCTAAATTTAATTTAAATGATATATCTTGGCCAAAAGAAAGTAACTTTGAATGAACCAAAATATAAATATACACGTATACATATATGTATTTTTAAAAACAAAAATCTTACTTTTTTTTTTACTGATAAAAAAAAATCTTGCTATCTTCCCCTAAACAAAATTCAAATTAACGAAGGTAAATTATAAAGGAATTACATCATTAAAACAGTTGAGAGCCTTTTTTTAATATAAGGCTGTGAAATTAATCCATATAAGCATAATGCTTAGACAAAAATATATCCATGATTAGTATAAGTGGCAGAGCCACATACAAGTGAGGGTGGGCATGTTTTTAAATTTTAATTATTAAATTAAATTTTAAATTTTGTACCCCTTCTTCTCCATATTTTATATCTCATCTTTTTAATATTTTAAACATTAAATTCATTTGATTTTTTTTCTAGCCTCATAATCCAAATTTCTTAAATTTCTAAATCTAAGTCTAATAATATAATGAATAATATAATTGATTTTTAATTATTAAATTATTTTTAAAAATTATTAAATTTTACCTTTTCTTTACAATTAATAACTAAATAAACTATTGTTTAAAATTTAAATAATAATAAATAAACAAATGGTAAACTTAAAAAAACATTAACTACTCTATCCTCGTCCTATATATAATTCATTTTTTAATTATTAATTTATTTTTAAAATTATTAAATTTTTCCTTTTCTTTGCAACTAATAACTAAAATAAATTGTTGTTCAGAAATTCAAATAATAATCAATAAAAAAATGGTAAACTTTAAAAAAAAATAACTACTCTATCTTTGTCCTGTATTAAAGAAAAAAAATTTCAAATTTCATTCTATATTAATGACCAGAAGGAGTTGGGTCACAACTCATTTATATATAATTAATAATAAAGAACTTGTTTGGCATGGCAATTTAATTTGATAACATCAGATGATGAAATGAAATATACATGGCAATAGTTTATAAGAGTAGTACAAATCAAAAGAGATTAAAACTAGTATGCCCTTGCATAAGGATGATACAGAGAAAATTAGCATCCCCTAATTACATGAATAATATATGCATGAATCAAAATATTAAAACATCAAAATATGCCAACAAATTAAAGGTTGACTCAATTAATAAGAATTTGATTTATAACCCATAAGGTTGTTAGTTCAAATTCCATTACTGATGTAAAAATTTGTTAATGCATGATCTGTAAGTAGTACTTTTGCAAGTACTATTTGAGCCTAGAAGCATACCGTGACTTTGATGAGTTGGCATTGAGATCCAACTCACATGAACTATTTTGTAAATAAATTTAAAAAAAAAACTGCAAAATATTACTTAATTGATGAGCAATAATAATATCTAGGAAGTAGTAGTGGAAGAAGAGTTAGGAGTAGAAGAGCAGTGAAAATAATTAGGATGAAGCAATTGGAATAGTAGGTTGAAGAAGGGGCATCATGATTGTGAACGCCTTCATAAGTGGTGACCACATAGCTCACATCCTCTGTGTCCCTTTCTACTCTCTTCTTCACCTTGCATCCTCCACTTGCACACTTGTAGTAGTTCCTGTTTCATCACGTCATTTTAATATTCCTTTTAAATAACTTGCTGACTATATATTATACTTCTTAAATAATAGTATATATATGGCAAAAATTGAGAATAAAAAAAAAAAGGAACGACTATGGATTAGAGAAATTAAGAGCAAAGACCAAAAATTAGCAAAGACCAAAAATTAAAGACAATTTATATATATATATATATATCATAATTCCGTAAAATACTTATTTCCCCCTATATGGTCATAAGTATGAGCACAAATGAGGTGTTTTGATTTAGGGTATGTTTGGTTGGAGGGTTTTGGAAGGAATGGAAGACTATAATTACTTTAATTTTTAAAAAATGGAGAAGTTGTGTTAAAAAAATCATTAAAATTTCATAACTCCACTTATCCATTTTTTTAAAAAAATTATTAAAAAATTTATATTCCCTACAAAATCCTCCAACCAAACAGGGGATAAGCCGATAAGTGCAAACTCATTTTAAAAATATGTTGCTGTATTTGTAAATAATTAGTTCACAATCTAAAATTTAAAAGATGCCACTAGCCTTTTATTAACATCATGATTAGAACATAATTAATCAAATAAAGTAAATTAGTTAAAATCAAATTAAAAGGTACGTAACATAATTAATCAAATAAAGTAAATTAGTTAAAATCAAATTAAAAGGTACGTGCTACATTATATTTTAATTTGTAGGTAGAATCTTTTATAATTGTGCACTCATACAAGTTGAGAAAGATGTGAAAGTATGATTGGATATTAACAATATTCACACACATTATTCTATATAATTTCTACTATAATATAATATCGGCAACAATTATTCTGCCAAAAAAATGAATACAACTTGCATTTTGTTGTGCTTTGGGTGGGTCTAAACAAACTTACCCCACACATTCACACTACCGGGCAGAAAAAGGGATAAAGATTAAGGCACTGTTCAGTGTTCATTATTGGCTCACATTTAATCACAAGCAGCCCCACGTCAAATCTGGGGTCCATTAATCGTTCACTCTCAACATTTATTTATCTAATAGAAAAATTTATTAGGACTTTTTTCTTTTTTTATAAAGTATTTTTAAACAAATTTTATCATTCAATAAATTAGTTATTTATTTTTAAATTAATACTATCCTTCTATATATACTCCTATTTAATAAATGTTTAACTCTAAAATAAATATAAATTAATTTATTCATTAAAGTCATTTAAAAAAAATAATGATTATACTTAAATTAATTATAATAACCAGCAAGTGGGGTTGGACTATAGAAATTTGATCTCTATTTTAGTTACATAATTCTTCTCTCTAATTTGATTACCTCTGAAAAAATTATTATGATCTTATTTTTAAAAAAATTAAGTGACAATAATAAATATAAGAAATTATATGATGAAGACGGAATCCATTTGATTTACATGATTGAAGATTTCTCAGTAATATTCTTTGAAACAATACATGGAAAAAAATTGTGCACATCAATATATCATGCCTAAAGAAGACAAATTAAAATGAAAACTTAATTAATTAACCCTAATTAAATTAACATGTTTAGAAAATATATTTTTAAAAAACATATTTGGATATATATAGCATAATGATAATTTTAATTACCTGGGATTTGGATTACTCTTCACAGACTTCTTTCCGTACTTCCTCCATTTGTATCCATCATCCATAACATCAACCTCCGATCTCGTCTTAAACGCTATCCTTTGACTCACTTCTGCTTTGTTTCGCTTAACCCCTCCGCCATCTTCGCATTCTCTGTACAACAACGTCAAAACATTCGAAAATACGTAGAACAGTTAATATTAATTACATCAGAAGCATCATTAAAAAACCAGACAGAGAAAAATTAATTATAAGCACTTGCATGCTGTAGCTGTTATCAGGTGTTGCACCAGTACTAAACTCAGTAGTGTTTGCTGTCTTCTCCGATGATTCTGTGCTCCGTGACCAATCTTGAGGATGATGATCGTGCTCATCATCCACGACATCTTCGAACATGAGGTAGTCGCATAATATGTGCTCAGCTGGTGAAGCCATCACCTCCATATTCACGCCATAATTAGGGTTTGGATTTGGGTTTTCAAAGCAATAGTTCATTTTTTTCAGCTATATAGAGAGATAATACTGAAAAGCTGGTTTGGGAGAAACACACGAGAGTAAGAGATGGCGTTGAGGTCCTTTTTTAGTTTTGTCGACTGTTCTTATATATGCTTGGTGCTTCTTGGTGGATATAGATGAAATAATATCTGACAAAGATTTTCTTCTTAAATTAATTAGTTTCCTTTTCTCTTTAATAATGCTCATAGGATGCTTCACTTACATTTTCCTGGATGTTGCAGGGAAGGTTCTTCATTGACTACGTGTCAGCCTCAGGGATGTGTAGGTGACGTCATTACCATGACGTATAAATAACTTGTAATAATGGATTACCCACAAAAAATGGCATCCAGACAGATAGAGGTGGCTAGCCGTTCACTTTTTAATATTTTTTTAAAAAAATTAAATATTAAAAAATATAAAATATTTTTAATTTTTTAAAATATAATTATTATCTTTTTTTAAAAAAATACTTCTCTTAAATAAATCATTTTATATTTTATCTTAAGATAAAACACTTTATTAAATAGGGATAAGTATGAAAATATAGAATT